GGATAAGGGACACTGGCTCCCAGCTGGACTCTGCCCCCTGACCAGCTGGGAGCTCCCTGCCCTGCCAGGGGAACCTCCCCTTCCCAGCCTGCCCCTGCAGCAAAACCGGGCTGCAGCCGGGGGCTGTGGGCCCAGGGGTGCTGGTGCATGGATCCCCTGCTGGGGGCTGCGGGCTGCCCTTCCCCTCTATCCTGGGCCCGCCTCACCGAGGGGACTGTGGCTGGTGAAGGTCTGTCCCCGGGTCTCCGCTGCCTGGGCTCCGAGCCCCCCTTGAACCTCCGCTCTGGCTGTCTCATCCCGCTCCACAGACTGACCCGACTGCTCCTTCCCACAGGCCAGCCGCAAGTCGCCCAAGACCATGAAATTCTAGCACCGCCCGGGCTGAGCTCTGCGCTGGGCCTGCTGCTCCCCCGGCACCTCGGCTCCAGCTTTGGCCTTTTCACTCCCTCCCTGCTCGGCTGCCCTCAGCCTGTGTCCGTGAGACCCTCCCCCGGGCAGTAAAGCCGGTGCCCGAGTGCTCGGCGGGACGTCCAGGGACCGAGGCTGCTCACCGGGCAGGCTGGCTCCGGAGGGGCTCTTCCAAGCAGCCCCCGCCGGGGCAGGACAATCCGGGAGCTGGCTGGAGAGGAGTCCCCTGGAGAGAGGAGAGCCGGACAGGCGTCCACACTTCTGAGCAGAGCCGTGGCCGTGTGCGGTCTCCCGCCAGGCCAGCTGGGGCAGGTCAGCAGCCGCATCCTTCCCCAGCTCCTGAGGGGCGCCCGGTTCCCACGCGGCTGGACTCTCCTAGCTTCTCTAGCCAGCCCCGCGCAGAGCCGTGGGACCTCGCGGCCCCTGGACTCTCCCTTCTCCCCACGCCGTCTACACTACCAGAGCCGCAGGCGCGTGTACATAGCTAGGACCCTGCGGGGGGAGGCACCTTGGCTCCTGAGTCGGGGGCAGGGGGTTCTCACCAGGGTCCCTCTTGCATCTAACTCTAGTTTGGGGTGTTCCCCGCCGGGGCTGCCTTCCTCAAACACTAGCTGGGGTGGGTGGGTGCGCTTGGGGAGCTAGGATCATGTACAGCGGGAACCCCTCAGTAGCAACCTGATTCTTCTCTGCCGGGGGGCTGAGGAGGCTCTGCTGGGCTGGCAGCTCCTTGTGGGCCCTGCACAGTAGCCTGGGAGGGCAGCCGGGTCTCTGGCACGGGGATGTGTGGGGTAGGGCAGGGGGGTACTTCCTCCTGTGTACAGACAGCACAGCCTCCCCTCCCCCTTCGCTTTGGTTTGCTTGCGGTGCAGCCAGCTGGGTCTCCCCTGCGAGATGGGTAACACGCCTGGCTGGATGCTGGGGCTAGGAGGGGTCCCATCCCTCCGCCCTGATGGCCAGAGCCAAGGCTGTAGGTCCCACCCAGCTGCCGGGGTGTGGACAGCCCGTCCCCCAGGGGGGCGTGGGAATCTGGCCCCGGGTCCATCGCCAGGCCAGTCAGGGCAGAGCCGGGGGCAGATCTGTGCCAGCTGCCCGCCTGGCTGATGGTGCCCCTACCCACCTGGCAGGGGGCTCCCTCGTTTATACATAGGCCGTAAATTATGTCTCCGATGCTCTTGGCTTTGAGTGTGCAGCGGGCAGACCCGGGGGCGCCTCACCTCCGTGAAATGTCGGTTTTAAACGTTTCTACCTGTAAATAAAGTGTATTTTTCTCCCGGGCCTGCCTCTGCCTCCAGCCTGTTCCTGCCCCCAAGACAGCCCGGAGAGCTCCCGGTGCAGCTGAGAGCCAAGGCCTCGCCCCGACCCGCTCAGCCCCCCAGCATGGCCGGGTCCCGCGGCCAGCGTCTCCGGCGCCAGGGGCTGCGTTCGGCCGGGCAGCCACTGACATGGCCCCAGCGCTGTTCCGCTTGGTGCCTCCGCCCCCTCCTGGAGCGGGAGCTGCAGCCCTGGCTAGCCAGGCGGGCGCAGGGAGCTGGGCTCGGCTCTCCAGCCCTTGGTGGGTGTGCGGCCAGGCAGAGCTCAAAGCAAAGGTGGCAGCAGGGCCCAGCCCAGCTCCCGGGGTGCAGGCTTCCCCCTCCCCAGCTGGCTGAACCGTCTGCTGTCACATGGGGGAAAGGGGGGGGGGGGGGAGACACAACCCTCTCCATGTCAGCAACCTCTGTGCCCTCTCCTAGCATCCCCCCTCCCGGGCCTCCCTGGAGCTCCTGCTCACAGCCTGTCTCCCTTCCCCAGGCCCACCCTGCTGTCCCTCACCGGAGTCTCAGGCCTGCTCCTTCTCTAAGGGCTGAGCGAAGGAGCCCTCCCCTCCCCCATTCAGAGAGCAGCAGCTGCCGTCCCATTGGCCCAGCGCTGTCTTCTGGTTTGCGCCACCTGCTTCCCCTTTCCTGGAAGGCCCCCTCTTCGGCAGGCCCTCGGCCCCGATCAGCCCTGCCCTGATCCACAAGCCCCCCCC